GTTGTCAATCCAAATGTACTGCATTGCAGCTTTAGTTACCACACTCCATACGAGACAAGATCAACTACTCACACAGTCTCGGAACCAAAGTGCTGCAGCGAGCTATCGTTGATTTTGGTTTGAGTGTGCTGGTAAAGAATGAATTGAGTTGCTCCAACGAATTCAGAAAGTTCTCAAAGCGGTTAACCCATATGTCGGGTTGTTGAGACGGGCGCTAAGACAAACGCTTAGTATGCATGTTCGCCCCCAATTCGAATACACCATTCAAGCCTGGAATCCACTGCTGAATTACGAGTTTAACGCACTGAAGCAGCCTCAACACCGGGTATCCAAGTACGTCTTTGGAATGCGCAATCTCTCATACGAGCATAAGCTGAAATGATTGGGGGTATTCAGCGGACTATGTCGCAAAGTACGAGGTGATCAGATAATGACCTACTTGCTACTTCAAGACCCACATCATGTGTGTGACGGGGTTATACAATCGTAGGAAAGAACCAGCTTTACATAACGAAGCAAGTGACTAGCTTGTTGCAACCGAATGGAGCAGCTGATTCAATGTCTACGCATTGGAAGACGCGCATGTTCGCCTGTACGCTGATTGGTTCTTATTTGGCTACACTGGAGGGTATTTGTCTAACCGATTTAAAGGAGGAATCGGATGAATGCAGAAAATGCGTTAATTACAGCAATCACATAGTTATTTACGTCGATATTTCTACATCTTATTTATGCTGAGATTTTCGCTGAGCTTATTATGTCAAATAAATAGTTTGTCACTGAATAACAGACTTATGCGACACCGATCTCATTCTGAATGTTCTTAAATGGCCGATGGGCGTCTACCGTCCAAATGAATTTCGTTCCCTTTCCTAACAGCCCATACAAAGTTGGTGGCAAGCTGTTAGAGTTGCCCACATAGTTACTGTAATATTCTGCATGGCTTAAAATTTCCCGATGACTGTGTTTTAAGGTCGGAACATAAGCGCCTCGATGTGCCAAAACTTTCTCTGGCAGCAGCTTAAGTTCAACCACATTGTGACGAAACAGTGTTACGTAGGTTTTCACGATTATATATGGAATTCTTTTTTTATCCTCAATCCTGACTGCTACAGTGTTTACAACCTCGCTTCCAGACAACGGTATTGTTTAGTTTCCAATTTCGGATACACCACGATATCGTGACCATAAACGGCCATTAGTATTGTGTAACATGTTAAATTAGGATACGTCCTCATTCTATTCCGATTGTGTCCGTATAACCGACAGATTCCGTCTGCCGTGTCTGCATTTTAAGGCAGAAATACCTCTGGTTTTGCACAAGGTACGTTGCACATCTTAATAATAACAAAATACGGCTATTTTGATGCTTATTCACTAGAGCTGGTTCACTGAATTGCATGCCCAGTTATATACGGGGGTCACCTAACACCAAAAATAATGTAAGCCTCAATAGCCCTTAGAGGATAGTCGAACGACGCGTTGCCAACCAAGCTGAGGCGTCCAAGATCGATTCAACGAGCAACCGAAGAACCAGCACTCAGGCGACCGCATCGGTAACGGCAAAATGGCCACGGTTGTTGAAATACGATATTCTCACAAACTAGGTACACAACAAGCGATCACGGCAACGAGCAACAAGTTGCTGGTTCAAACACAATGCAACTAATGCCAAACACACTGGACGTATAATGGCATCGACCCGAATGAATCAGGACGCAGGCAGTCTATAACCTATTCACAAAAGGGCCAGTCTATCGGGGAATGTCTTGAAGCCGCAAATCCAGACATGGTTTGTCCCAGAGCTAGAACAGACACTGGTGAGAACACGAGGGAGTCAAACGGTAGTGAACTCAGTGAGCGGGTCGAAACACAGACGTCAATTGCAGGGTGATGAAAAAATGATCAATAGGGTAGACTACAAATCATGGGGCGAATTGATGCAAATGGGCGTTAGTTTGATTAACAAAGGGCGCACAGGAATAGGTGTCATGGTGTAAAGCGTAACCGGCTCCGAATGTGATTGTAAACACAAGCAAGGGCATGGGGAAAATGCGGGTAGGGTTTGAGCCAGGTGGAGCGATGGCAATTGAGCAAAATTGTCCTTTACAAATAAATGAAACATTTTTAAACCAAAATAGCAAAAGCGCCGTATCTTTTCAGCCACTTGGTAGGATCAAATTTGCATAGATATTTCTGCTACAAGGACACAGTCGGTAAAAATAAAAAGTTAAGCATTTACCTATATTCTTAAACGGCATTACAATTACCTCTGGAGCATTTTACATTGGACAGTCTCTTCCAATAAGAAAAAGTCATCGCGATTTCCCTTCGGCACGATTTCCTGAGTTATACAGATACATGAAAATGCAAAACCGTTCACGGAATGCATAACAGTGCTTTCATGAACTTCAGTGAACTAGTTCCATTGCACTCTTAGCGGCAGATAAACCCAACATCCCGGTGGTGGCTGGCGAACCAACAACGTAGCAACCGATGGGAATTCAGTTTTCCTCTCACGAGCAGTGTGTTGTTACTCAAAGCGCTTGCCATTTTGCACTCAGTAATTAAAATGCTCAAGTCGGGAGTTCCATATGGACAGCATGCGCTAGTACGTTACTGTGGCAATGGATTGGGTGGTTTAGCTAACTCTTAAACACGAAAATTGCAACCGCGCTACAAATATAGACATATCATGTATTCGTCAGAACATCGACGCATAAAGATCCTTTCTCTAGACAGTTTATATTGGGGGATGCTTCTGGGTGGCTGCAGCTAGCTGTAGCTGCTCCGTCTAGAAAGTCAGTCTGACGCAAGCGTAGCCACCAGGCGAACGGAAACCTTACCCCCATTCACCACTAGCGTGTCTAAAGCGGGAGCGTCTATTCCACCTTCTCCGAGGCTCGTGTATCGATTGAACCTAACGCATTGATTACCTCGTGTCGTACACGCTGCTGGCTCAAACAAACCGCGCCACCCACGTAGTCTGCGATTGGCGCAGAGTAGTTGCTTCACCGGTCGGCACGTGTTAAGCGAATTGCCGCAGCCGGTAAATGTTTGCTTTCACATGACTGCCAGGGTGACTGTAATTGCAACCGATTTATCCGAAGAAATGCAAGAAGTGGTGTTGGATTCTATCCAGGAAGTTGCATATATTCCAAACTCCATGGGAAGAAAAAAAGCACTACTTGAAGAGCGGTTGAGGAGGAAGTTCAGCACCGGTTGGCGAGTTGTACTGACGGATATAGCACAATGGTAAGCACACTAGCTTACTACGTTGGATATTGTGACCACATCCATGGACTAAAGCCCACGAAAAACATAAAACTGTGCGTCCGCTCCTCTAATGCAATTAGTAATGTCATTAAATCATGTACTTTGATGTAACATTAGAAATACGACATACATAGAAACAGATAAAACTGCTTCATGTGATCGGTATTACCACCTAGATATGACAGTCAAAGAAAAGCTGAAAACGGAGATACATGCGCGAGGGCTGTTTAAATTAAAATTTCCCACCAATGCAATAAAATGCTCCATGAATTTACATTTGTAAATCTTTTTTGGGCGTCAGATTAGTAGACAGGTCGAACGGATTCTAATGGTCGACTCATCTAAGTTATAACACTTGATTCAGGAGAAATAATCCTATTTTTTCAACACGCGTCCTCCCCTTAACATTCCCATCCTCGGACAAACCGTCTATGAATTGCAGATGCTCTCCCAAGCATAGTTACTGTCTACCACAAACTAAAAATCATCGTAACGAAGTTCACAAGTATTATGTCGCGTCTACTAGTAAATCGTCCGGTTCAGTGTTTTGATCAAACATACCATAAGGCTTATTTACAAAGTTATAAATCCAATGTATGTATTGGATACCTCCAGATGAAATGTTTGTTGTTTACTAAAACACAGCAAGCACTTCGTCATCACAGTGAACCCGGTACTACAGTGTTCTTAATCCAGATACACCCGACAGCTACAATGTTAAGAAAGTTTACGGTTTGTCTACCAAATGATGGTTGGGTGCTGACAATAAAACAGGAATTGAAAATCACCTAATTCGAGCTAATCTAAGCGTTTGAATTGGGTTTTCTCTCCCCTACACTCTATTGGGCAGGGTCCAAAGGAATAGTTGGTAAGGGACGCATGCATTCGTGTTGAGCCTTTTCCTGCTGAACTGATGATCTTGACAATTTTCTTTATCCGTGAATTAACAATGTGACCCATTCTATTGACTTTGCATTAAACTAGTCTTCTGCTACCATTTTTGAATCACTCAATGCGTACACATCTTTCAATATATAACATTTGGTTGTAAACTATCAAGGAGTCCCCCAAAGGTTCGCCTGCGATAGATCGTCCATTGAAAACACTAGAAGGAAACACCATGCTGTTAAGATCAGCACATGTTCGTGTTTGTTAATGATTACACCACTGCTGCCACCCAGTTACTTTAGTATTTTTACATGTGCGCAATACCGTCAGACTGAATACCAAACGCGGAACATTGAGCATTAACAGGTGTGTTGTTCTATCGGTATGTTGTCTGTCACACAAGCGTATTGATATTAATTCCTGTAAGCATTTTACTTAGCACAGATGTTAAATGCCTTCCAAATAGGACTTCGATTGCGTCCCTATTACTCTCTCTGGCAAAGTGATCAACTATTTCACCACTCGACGCCGGGGAGAGAAATCACAGGCTACCGGCCTCAAATCCAGTACGGAAGCCTGTTATCGGTGCCCGCATGTCGTGCTTACGTTGCTCAGGTCTGGAGTCATTCAGGCGTTAGGTACAGTGGGTATAATGAGAACAACACGAAAAAAGTATTTGGGCGGCAGAATCCTTAAGCTGTGGAAGAGTCTGGTTGATAAATACTGAATCTGTTCTAGTTGTTGACAATAGGTAGGCGAATCTTACTATGGGCGAGGTCTTATGATTAGACAGAAGAGGCGAATAACGGTCACACTAGTAGTTTCATACAACCGTGCGGCTCGGACCAAGCTTTTCTCGACTCCAGCAGATACAGCTAAGCCTTCTTCTTGATCTAGTCAAGCACCTTTATCGAAGTAGAGATCGCACAAGTCTACCGATAGCTGTCCATTATCCTCGGGGTACTGCATTTTGGAACAAGGGTTTGATACCACATGTCCCCAATTGCTCTGCAGTCAACCTTCTAAGCGTAATCTTTAATGAGTTTCTTTACCGAAGGCGATCTAATGGTCCATAACGACTCGAGAATCGGTGGTTAGAGTAGAGCAGAATCAGCTGGCATCGTGTTACCAAGATGGATGAATTGCTTGTCTAGCTCCTCCAATCCTCGGTCTAGATTGTTAAGTTCGGTAGGGGGCTACTCCCGTTGAAATTATTAGAGACATCTAGCCACTAACAAATATGAAGTACCGTTTGCCAGTATTGCAGCAGGGCGTAAATTGCTGACAGTCACGTACTGTACGTTTGAGAACCCCATCGGTGGTACTCCCCTGCACACCTCAGCTTCCGCCTAGCGCAAACATGGTTCACATTAAGGCCGTATCCCTAACACGTTAGTTTTGGGAATACCAACAATTCTACACTTTCACAACGACTCGTGTACACACCGTAACGGTCTACAGAGCTATACGGGAGGAATATATTCCACGGTACGCAGCACTGTCGAGCCAAAAGACCATTATTATTATTATTATTATCGACCTTAGCTAGAGGTGGAAAACACCTCAGCTACTGTGCAGAATGCATACAAAGCAAAAAAATGACTAAAAGTGAACGCCACCTAAGCTAACAGTAAGGGATGGGCACGATTCCGGAAAGCTACCAGCTGGCTAATATGAAGCAGTAAAATTATTATAAACATTTGGATTTTCCCAAAAGTGAAATCACTGTTAGAGGGGAAGATAAAAGTGATAGAGTGAGATAAAGCAACACAATACAAACGTCACTGAGCTCGGCTCTTAGCCATGTCCGCAAGTGTATTCAGCCAAACGGGTTCAACGGTTTCGGATCACAACCAGGTAGCCTAGAGGCTCCGACAGAGGCCAACATCGAAGTAAAGGCCTTCATTGCTCTCGAGCAAGTCAGTGCTTAGACGCTCCATCCCCTCTTCCATCCACACCCACGGCGCGCAAACGACACATCTTGCCGAAGTCGTTGGGCTGCCTTGCGCAACGACATGGTCGAGCCACCAGAGCCTGGTACGTAAAATAACGATTCCGAGTGGTACATTTCCTTTTTCTGTGCCGTAAACAAGGCTTCGAACACGTTCATTGCTCACGCGGTGTTCCCACCTGATGCGGTCCAAAGTATGAAGGTACCGGTGGTCGAATGCAACTAGCCACCTTATGTCCTCTTATCTAATGTGTCAAATTTCACTGTCGTAAAGGAGAGTTAAACTGAAGGCTGCATTGCTAACTACACTTCAGCGAGAGTGTAAAGTCGCGCCGGCACCACACGTCGCGCAATTTAGCAAAAGCGCCTTGAACTTTTTCTATAGGTTTTGTAATCGCGTTTTCAATCCCAAGAGACAACTTCTTGACAGTTGAATTTCTGAATTACTTCCAGCTGATCCCAACCAAGGGTCAGCGCAGGAGGCAGTACCTGCCAATTTTGAATAAGCGCTTTACATTTCGAGGGTGCAAAGCAATACCTGAAGCGGCTGACGGTGTTAATCTCTCCGGAGCCGCCTGATACATTTGTGAGCTAAGACAGATGAGGGCAATATTATCGTCATATTTCAAGTCAACCAATCTTTCACCTAGGAGCAGTTCCACATCTTTTAAGTCTTGTCCTGTGAACGCGATCTTCGTTACCTCGTCAATGGCTATGCTGAATTGGTGACAACGGTCATCCTTTTCTCACACCACTGGTGATATTAAAGGACAGCGGTGGCTTGTCGTAAGCTCACACTTTGTCATAGCTACGCATGCATAACGCCTGGATAATCTTTACATATTCCTCGGGCAAACCTTTCCTGACCAGACAGTTCCAAAGGACATACTGATTCCTCGACTCGAACGCACCTTTGATATCGAGGATTCCGACAACGGTGGGCCGCCAATAGATGTGACGGTACCTGAACAATTGACGCAAAGTGGAGATGTGGTCCATGCAGCATCGACCTAGACGAAACCCGGATTATTCTTCACAAATCTCTCTTCCACGAGTACCAGTCAATCTCTGAAGGATGACGGGGACAAGCAATTTGGAGCCAATAGAAATCAGGCTGTTTTCTCTATGGTTGTCGCATTCCGATGGTGAGCCTCTCTTGAAAATTGGGATTATAACGGCGTGGCTCCAGTCGTTGGGGACAGTTTCCTGCTCCCACAGTTTCACCAGCCATCTGACTATACTCGTTTTCGAACCAACGTGTCTTCATTGATACATCTTTCCGGTGCTTTAAGAAGGAGAATCAAATGATTAACCATATTACACCGCTCGTGCAATATACCTACATGCTGCAGCAGCTTAATCCGGTGGCCGTGACTATTCCATTTAACAAGCTATTCGGGTGCGACCATCGAAATCCATCTTTCTGTGTCTGTATAATGCCTCTGGTAAATATGAGTATCTCAAAAGCGGCTCTTGGTTGAGTGCGGTTACCAAGTTATTAATCCCTGCCAGTGACTCCAGTATCTGAAATCATACAAGCTCAACGGAGTTGGATGTGACGATATGCGCGTCGATCGGGAGACCCACTGTGCTACTTCAGTCTCAACTATTATTTCTGCAAATTGTGCTACGAATTTACAATGTGTGGAAGTTAGTTGAAACCCAGGTCAGAACATATGATGTAGCTTGCGTTCGTTTGTGAATGCGTAGTGAGGATCACGTGAGTGGTTTCAGGTATGTAAGATCCAGTGCATGCCACAACACTAAAGCTGCATTTGGACGAGCACTACATTTGCTCACATAGCTCATCTGTTCGTCAGTAAGCGCTTGGGAGTCTTCCGATATATTAATGCTGAATTTGTGTGCATCCTGCCACTGCGGTCATCTGAAAATCTATCTCTGCAGATCTACCAGTAGTCCGTAAACTAGACTTCCTACGGATCTGCCTCAGGATCCAACAAAATCGCATTGAACAATAGTACGTCTGGCCGTCGACATGTAATGGAGTGCCACCACTCGTTACGTTTGCTCAATACGCCGTAATGGTTCAAAAAGACTACGCGCATGCCGTGGCAGAAAGTATTGGTGGCTAGGAAGCGTCGCCGAGCATTGGATTAAGGTTTGGTGAACCCGAGTAGCT